CAGAGTCACCATGCGAAGCAGTATGTAATCCCTCTGCAAGAAGACCAACATTCACCACCCTTGCACAGAGCACTTTCCTATGTGCAGAATAGCCCGGGAAGAGCCTTAAAAAGCCACATAAACATCATTAAATCTGGACTCTATGGAGATATGTTCTGTTTCTGGGGATTGAAGATAAAGAATTGAGACACTGGGATAAAACATCAATGTAAGTAAGCATGTAATCATGGAATCAATAAATAATTTGAATAAAGGAAAATGTTACAGTTTCTACTGTTTTTTCATTGATACAGAACACATGATTCTTCCAGTGAAATTAGGTTCCTCCTCTCCTAACTCCATCTCTCCATTCCCAGTTAATTCATTGTGACAAACTTCCCTGTCCTCGTGAGTTTGCCACGAGCTCCTGGAGGAGCCTGCTTGCCAGCCTCCTGCCCACCGACTATGGGCCAGGTCAGCGATGGTAAAGACCCATATTTTATTCCCCCTGGTTCCCCTAGTTCGGCACTTTCCATTTGTGCGCATAGAACGGAATTCTAGCTCCCTGGCGGTCGTTCGCATTGACCAAAACCGCGAATAGACTTCAGGGGGACTTAGCCGCAATTCCATGGAACTATTTCCGACATTAAGACTTTGCGGTTCCCGGTCGGTCCCCAGCAGCACTTAGCCGTGATTCTATGGAACTATTTTCGGCTAGGACACCATGCTTGCGGTCGGTCAAATTACGACTTCCAGGAAATTCCTGAATCCGTGAACTGATCTGGTGATTTTTGGATATGTTGGTCACTTAGATCTGGGCTATCTGGGGAAGTAACTTTTGTGGGGTTTTATGTATTTTTAAGGTACTTTTGGGGTGTTTGGGAAATGTGTGTTTTTTTATGCTTGGAGATAATTGAGTTTAATACAGTGCTTGACTCAATTATCTCCCAGGCATAGGGGAGGGATTGACCTATTTTGTATGGGAGTGTCCTGGACCTGAGAGCCAATGTAATCGTGTGTATGTTTTTACTGTAGTCTACTCTCAGGTCCAGGGGGGAGTGACCCTTGCATGGGGACCTGCATATAAAGCCAGTTGTGGCTGCCATTAAACATATTCCAGCTTGTACTCCCAGAACTATGTGTCATCTGGTTGCTGGGAGCGGAAAGGGCTAATCACTAATCACTGTTCCAGTGTGGAGGATTCAACGGGGAAAGTCCTTGTAAGGACTAGAGCTCCAAGGACTGAGAATCGTCCAGTGCCTGGGGGTTGCTAGAACGAGTTTCCCATTCGGCTCCAGGAGGGAGCGGTTCCAGGGCCCCAGTCAAGTCACGGCGACTGAGGGCAAGAGTGCTGAGGATGGTCTCCTGTTCCAGCTAGGAAGCAGTCCTGTGGCGGAGGTACCCAGTCGGGGTACAGGGAGCTCCGTTACATTCATTATTGCCCATTCATATTATCTCTTCTTTTCTCCAATCCACTGTAATTCTATCTCAGCCTACTCCTCTTTATTCAGTCACTATTTACACCTTCTACACCTCATTCCTTCTTCCATTACTAGAATAAGCATCCTAAACCTAAAACCTCTAACCCAAAAATTGCTTTAAACTTAAATACTCCAACTTTAACCCTAAGGATCGATAATTACTGAATACCACCGAACCATAAAGACTCCATAACCCTTAAAACCTCCTAAACCTAGAGGCCACTAAACCTGCAGACATCTCAACACCTTCTACTTATCGACAGTCCCTAACCCTTATGGCACTCTAACCCTAAATAAAATAAAGAAAATATAAAAGGGAAACTGGAATCCTTAGACCTAAAGATCATGGCAGTGGACGCATAACTTATTAACCTCTATAATATAAATAAAACAAGAATAAAAGGAAGTAAAGATAAGCAAAGCAGTGTTCCATTCATATAAGTTGGGAACAAAACTTTCCTATATTTCCATATGGCTTTATGTCAGGACGCTGACTGCAATGCAGTTAATCCTTGCCATTAGTCAAGCTAGAGTAGTGACAGGTATGTGTTAATGCAATCTATCACTGCTCATTCCTCCTCATATTATTTTCAATGAGAAAGAAACATGTTGTATATCATAAGGAAGCTCTACCTAATGTGATTATCATCAGCGGTAGAGAGGTAAATGGAAGGCTGACCTGATAGAAATAGCCAGCATCGTAGCAATTGCCATGGAAAGTTAATTAATAAAACAAAAGAGTCACAGGCCATAACCAGGAGCCAGGGGGACACGTGAGGTTTAAGGACCACTGATTAGCCAGCCCTAGTCTAACGAGACATAGGCCAGAGCTACAGAAATAGGAAGAATCAAATCAAAGCTATTAACAACATTATTAAAGGTTAAAAAGAACCAACAGTTGATAACGAGGTAGCTTATGCTTCTTAAATTCTAATACATATTAATTTCTTTTTTTTTTTTAAATGTATATGCTTGCAGCGAAGCAACCTGTATACTAAGGTGGCCAAAACATAATTCACCAGCTGTTTTAGAATTATAACCTATGATAATGTCACAGCACACATGGGGGATTCGGCGTGTCCTACTCACTCTCCGGACGCCACGTGTCTCTCGGCGTTCCGGGAGTGAGAGACTCGCTCCACCTACCTCCTGGTCCCCGGCTGTCTCCACCACTCTGCGGCGGCATACCACCCCCGCTCCGGTTTCCCCAAAACCTGCGACCACACCACGTGTGTTGCGACAAACAGGGGAAGACAGCCGACCGCCGGCGCACTCACCAAGTAATATATGTGCCATGACCCCTATGGATTCACTCAGACTAGCAGAACCCTGTGGGACCCATGCTGGTTTACCTGAAAGCAGTGTGGGGATTTATGGCTTTTAGCTACAAATGGACATAGCGTCACACCAACATGCTTCTGGGTGTGGACACCCAGTTACCCAGAGGGGCTTTCCACTTATATAGGCCCTTAGACCGCTCCTCATGGGAGGGTTCCCATTTCCTTTTCCCCATTTAAGCACAGACCACCCTGGGGTCTGTGCTTAGCTGTTTTGTTGTTCCCTTGGAGTACATAGCCAGCTCCTGAATGAAGTGAGCTGATTACTCTCACCTGTGGAATTCCCTTGCATCAGCTCTTGTCTGCCTGGAACCTGCCTTTTATCTTGGTTAACCCCTCTAGTGCTCTTACAACTTTGATTAACCCCTGCAATGCTGATTCAACTTTGGCTAACTCGCCCAATGCTGTCCCAGCTTTGATTTATTTCCTGCAATTCAACTACAGCTTCAATCAAGTTTTTCTTCATTTACCAATTGCTGGAACTCTCGCAAAAGGACTTTATTTTCGTTAAAGATTTTTATTTTATTATTGAAGGAATTGCTTTGTTTACTGTTTATACATGCATTGGGACTTGCATCGTATTCATTTTCTTTTCAAAAATAAAAACCTTTTAATTCAGTAAATGTGCCCGTATAAATCTCTGCATACCGAGCCCATACCCCCCAAACCCGTGACAGATAATTTGCTAACTTTAAGATCTAGGTAAAATATATCTAGCCAGCTGTTGTCACACTTTAATTCTCCAGGTAAACCCTGCTGTAGATAATATTTTGTGGAGTAAAAAATTAAATACGTTTTACTCCAAAGCTTCTGTAAGCTGTCTTGGCTATCTCCTGTTAAACATCATCATATTTCTCTTGTTAGGATGTACTTAGTGAAACAACATAATTCGATTTAATTCCTCTGCGACCAGAGGGGCTTGCAAAGTATTTCACAAACATTAATACTACAAAATTATATACGTCTCTCTAGTCTGGATTTTTTCCTTTATTACTTTTTTTTTCTTTATACATAGAAAAGTGCACAATTAAGTATAACATTTCACTTTCTGTTTAAGACATCCAGCTCTGACATACATTAATTAGGATTTTTTCACAGCTATCATCCTCTCATTTGCTTGCTTTCAAAATCTAGGGCTTCATGTATGTGCTTCTGTGATTCGCTTATTCTGTTGTCATGGAAAAACCAAACCTGCCTTTCCACAGTCTAAATACTATCTGTATCTCCTACTGCCACTTATCGTTCCTTATTTTTCGCTAACCAATCCCTTGGGGCTGTTGTATCGCTTTATTTATTTATTTATTTTTAAAATATGAAACATGTTGTTTTTTTGTTAAATTTTTTTATTAGAACCATATTTCCATGTTAAGGAGATTATTATCGACATTTAAAAAAAAAACAGGTGAGATATTCAATCTTTTTCACTATCATTTTGCCACATATTGTAACATTTCGCAGAGTGATTTAATTTATTTTTCAAAGAAATTGTTCTGTTAATGCCAAGTCTTACAGATTATATTAAGCATTGTTGGGAAAACCGAACTGGCTACCAACTGATAAACTAAATTTAAAGTACAAGAGAATACCAGCAGCGAGATATATTATGCTCCTCTTATCATTGCTCTGTTTCCCATATTTGTTTTTAAATTCTTTATTGGTTTTCATAAATATTACATATAATTAGACATATGAATACAACAATATCTTATGAATAAGAGAATTGCACATATATTTATTAACAATAATGTATTAATACTTATGAATAAGAGAATTGCACATATATTTATTAACACATGACATGGAGATAGTTACAATAAGCATAAAGACAATTAGCACGTCAAATAAAAAAGTCCACTTTAGTGGGTTTCCAAGTTTTAGCAACAGAGATTTTAAAAGCCATCAATATGTGGATCAATAGCCATGTTTTGGGTTTTCCCATTTTGTTTTACTATTTTTAATATCCTTACATGCATGTGTAATAGCAGTCACTGAGATGATGATGGTGATGATTATTTCTCTCCCAATACATGGTCTGCATATGCAATTAAGACCATCATAAAAGTGGAATATCTAGAAACTGCTAATAGCTTGTGTGGCCCCTTTTGGACATGGTCACTTTAGCATATGCAGCCTTTGTATTTGTATGACAGTCAGGAAAGCAAGGTTAAAGTAGGTTAAAACTTGCTTTTCCTGACTATTGGAAGTAAAGGATAATTTATATGCATCCTGAGATTTAGAGTGTGAACTCATGTTGTAAGACCCTGACAGTCCCTAAAGCATATGTAATCCATCTTCTTCTAGGCTTGATGACTCTCTGTGGTGTGGGATCCCGAAAAAACTGCCTTTAGAAATCTTGTTTAAACCTGGAACACAGTGATTGATCCCTAACCAAAATCTACCATTTTCTTCTGCACAAGCCCCAGACTAATGAACTACCCTGTGTAAATGTATCTACACAGCGATGGGATGGCACTCCAAAGATTTCTTCAGTGAATTAAAACATAACAGTTATTCAAAGTTTTAGTTTACAATAAAAACGTTCATCACCTTCTTTAAACAGGTACTGTCATCTTGTCCCCCCAGAGAGCTATTGGACACTTGTGCACGAAGATACCCCATCCTCCTTTTTGGAAGCTGGCTTAATCCTTTATATGCACTGAACCAGTCAGTCATCTTATGTAAATGTGCCTTTGGAACTGTTGTCCAGGTCCAACTATTTCCATTGCCGCGTTAGGTGTATGTCTTTCCCACTGGAGTTTTCTACTCTCCTGTGGCATGATTGTGAAGTATCGTCCCCCCTACACGTTGGTCATGACATTCATGGTAAGTGGGTGGGGGGGGGTTTTGGGTTAGCTTCCTGGGAGAGGTTTCTGTTACTCCATAGGTTTGGTTTATTGGTGAGCTGCCTGAAGTGGTCTTCTTAACCTTGGGGAGGGTAATTAGAATTAGAAGGTCTAGTATATGCGATTCCCAAGTTTCCATATGTTTTTTTTTTGTCTTCATTTTTTTTGTCTTTTTGTGTACACTCACAAGAATCCTTAGCAAGGACGCTATATAAATGCTAATACCCTACTGTTCTTGACTATCAGGAATACACATTCCTGGACTACAGGAGGCTGGAACTATTTTAATTGGGAGTGGCAATGGGCATCTAACTAAAGACTTTTTGCAGTACAAGTGCAGTAGATAAAATATTTTGTTTATTAATACCATAAAAAATTTAAAATGCCTCCTTTAAAAACTTTCTTTCAAAAAAATATCATAATTTAAAAATATAATAATTAGCACTTTATAAAGTGCAATAACACAAATACATACAGTGAAAAACAATATATCAGTGCACTTGTTTTTATGTGCTGGGGTGAGGCACACAGAGGGCTGAGAAGGGAAGAGACATACAGATTAGTGGGGGGATAGGCACACAGAGGGCTACGGGGGGCAAAGTGGCACACAGAGGGGCTAGGGGGGTACAAAGAGACACACGGGAAATGGGGGAGAGAGGCACACAGAGGGCAAAATAGTCTTGCACCGGCCCTGACAGGAGGGAAGCCCTTGGAGGTTTTAGTTCCAGACCAATGGTGCTTCCCAGCTATTTCTTCTACTACAGACTGGCATCATATTATTTTAAGCATTTATTCAAGACAGATAACAAATACAATAAAAATAAGTAAATATTGAACATCGGTTTGATACAGTCAGCATTGCACAAAGAACAAGAGCGTTAATAGATCACAGCAAGCACCTTAGCCTCAACGACTGCATATATATATTTAGCTATATATAAACAAAAGATAAAAAAATAAAGGAATAAACCATAAAATAAGGGAGTGGGAGCATTGGCAACCCTTCCAGGTAACTTTGTCCAAATGAGTTTAAAGAAATGTATTTAACCATAGCTGAATAGAAACACAGATCAACCTGCCATTAAAGGTAGTGCTCTAAAATCGAGTGGGTTGTGCTCTTACCATTAATGGTGGGACTGCAGCACACCATGGAATGGAGTTAATAAGTGAATGGTATTCCATTCAAGAAACTATCCCAACTATCCCTGCAGCTCTCTCTGAAGTATTATGAGTCGAGGCTACGATTAGTTCCATTGAATAAATCTACTCAACCTTTTTTAGCCATTGCCCAATGGATGAAGGACACTGCCTTCTCCAAAATAATGGAATCAACAATTTTGCTGCGTTCATAAGATGTGTTTATACACAATTGAGAGGTTATAATGATGCAACAGAATTAATGCTGAATGTAGCTGGACTGGTTCTTCTGAGACACGTTAAATAACTTTTTGAATAAGAGACTAGTAATAGGCATGCTTTGGATAGTCCAACCAAAGATATAAATAAACCAACACACCTACCATTACATCAACAGGCATCTGGTATGGTAGGGGAGATTCGGTGGAGAAAAGCTGGTGTACAGTACCATCTTGATAAGATTTTGTAGGCAGACTCTTGAAATAAGGAGGAAATTGAGCATTTATGAATAAAAAGAAACACATTCTGCCACTGGCTTGGAGATAGTAAAATATGAAGCTCTCTCTCCCAAAGCTCCGTAAAGCTGGGTAAGGCCATGTCCAGTGGAGCAATAAGCAAATTATTAAAACAGTTCAATTCCTTACAATGGGAGGTGGGCGGGGCATGGTATTATTGGCACCATAACCACTACAGCAAGCTGTATGTGTTCCTTTAACAGATTTACCTCTGTATTTCTGTATTAAGTAACTATTCTGATTTACACGACAACTATACTTTATATGTGTCTTTCTCTTTATTAGGGCTCTTGTGTGCCTTATGGTCTATCTCTTTATCCAGAATTATACAGACTTTCGTGGCTTCTCATTAATTAAGCAGGCAAGTTAAGTAATGCAACAAAAACAGAGAATATGAGAATGGGCAAAAGCTGAAAGAAACCTAAATAGCTTGCCTTTTGGTTAATCCCTGCTCAGTTCTCAAAATGATTGTGCTCACTTGTGTCATTATGGAGAGAACCTATACCATTTCGATATTAGAATGATCTGTCCCATAAGAGCAGTCCAGACATGAAATGCAAAAAAAAGTTCCCTCTGACTAAGAGAAACAGCAACTCTTTTTGTTTCAGCCTTCTTCGAGCCTTGTCAGTGAGGTTAGCTGACACCCCTCTAGGCACAGTGAGCACAGGGTCCACATCTGGATTACCCTTTAAACTTAGGCAGAGCCTAATTAAGTGCATTGCAACAAATGCATGGCTGCATTTGGGAGCATTGTAATTGTCACTGCTTTTATTCATAATTTGGTCTCTGAAGAATTGCCAATGCAGGGAAGAAATGCGTAAGACGGATATTTTATACTTTTTTACCAAATAAACCATATTTTATACACCCATCTACCTTTCAGAGTCCTGTTTGGTTCCTGAATTATGGTGATACCTGATCCTGAGAAGGATTATTTGCCCCCCATCTAGTTCTTGGGAGGCACATTTGGGGCACTTCTTATTCAAACATCTTGTGAGTACAATCTAAAACAGTGTGTGTTCTTTATTGTTAAATGGTTTTACACTATGTTCTGTTTATTAATTTTTTTCTTTAGATATATCAGCTGAATCACACCTGTGTTTCTATATTTTTATGGCTTGTTAAAACCACTACTTGGGAGGTGATCTGTGGGAGGTTGTTTCTTTACTGTTGATAAGTATTATTTTTATTACTTTTGTAGCTATTGTATTTCTTTTATTGTATACAGAAGTATCCTAACCGGGCTCACACTAGGATCAATCACAAAATCCTGGGTTGTATTTTACATCATTAAAAAAGCTCTCCAATCACCATAAGTACTAGAGCCCGCAGTCGTAGTTATGGTGTCAGGAGTGACTCATCACACTTACTTCCTAATTGTAAGTAGTTAAACCATTAATATGGCTCCTAGAAAAGAGCAACATTAGAATGGAAAAAAGGGACAGAGGGATTTGGGCCCAAAATAGCGACTGTTCCTACTAAATAGGGACACTTGGTTGGTATGACACTATCGACTGGGCAGTCATTGCTGCCTAGTCGCTAGATGGTCTCCATTCCATTGGGATGGGGCCTGTAAAATAACAAGGGGAGCATAGTCCCCCTGAGCTGTGCCCCTACCCTACAGTAGAAGAAACAATGTATGGCTTATCAAATAATAATCACAGTTAAGCTATTTCTTTTCCAGTGATGTACTGTGTCTATCCCAGGTTGTTCCTTATACCCAGGCTCTAAATCTGCCTTGACTAGTAAATAGAGCAGAAAACTATATCTGTAGAAAAAAGCATCGGGAAGACAAGTTGACAGCCAGTTGAGAAGACAGTTCTAGTGTTATGGAAAATCCAGCTAGCGAAATGCCATCTTCTTCACTACAGACATGCCTTGTGTAGTCTGTTTATTATCTGCTACATGTCTGACCCCGTAAGTGTCCCCGTCCATCTGCAGTACTGCTGGAGAGAGACTGTGAGGAGGAAATATATTTAGCAAATTAACATTTCCAAAACAATGACTACTATACATTAGCATTACCTATATTATAAAGATTGTTTAGATGTGCCTATTATTTTTAGTGGTAAAATTATAGGTAACCTAGAATTATTATGTATAAAAAAAAATATATATAAATATACTTCCATTGGATGTAATACAATTACAGTATGGTATTGTTATATAGCAATTTACAGGGCAATAATTAATGTTCATTCAGCCTATGTATTCAAGGACGTGAGAGGGTCAGGGTGATCCCACCAATGCAGATCTCATTTCAGAAGAACACGTTCTGAAGGCTATCTAGAATGCTTTAAGTAATCATTAGTTGTTACTGTCTAAGTAACCTAAATCCATTGAGAGATCTTCTAGAAATTCTAACCATCTGCTATTTAAAAGATTGATTATTTCTGGGGTAGGTATGTGTTTTCATTACAGTTTTACTTAAAATATAAAAAGAAAATGTCCAGCAGCATTAACAAATTGACCAAATTACAGCTTTACATTATGACTTTCTTGCCATAAAACATTGTATTGTTATTATATGAATAGATAAAAACATTAGTTTTAGATCATCACAAATGGTTTATTTGGGATTTGTCAATGTCAGTTTGGATGCTGAGTCTAGTCACACAGTTGGGGCTGAACTACTTTCCACGATGCATGCTTTAGGCTTTACACAAAATATCCCCGAAACCACATTGTGGTTTTTGCTTTATCTTACAGGTATAAGGCACAAAAAAGTAGGACATCTTGATATAAAGCAATAGATATATAGGCCCAAGACCTCTCATAGAGCAGGGTTAGGCAACCTTCGGCACTCCAGATGTTGTGGACTATATACCCTATAATGCTCTTACACACATAATGCTGGCAAAACATCATGAGAGGTGTAGTCCAAAACATCGGGAGTGCTGAAGGTTGCCTATGCCTGTCATAGAGTGTCTTCTGCTCTAGCCCACACACTCAAAATGCAATGCATTGTGTACATCACTATTACAAAGAGAGATGATTTAAGTATTTCATGTCTTTCTGTAAGTTTGAGTCTATCATTCTTTTTCTGACCTTTTTCCTTAACCCAGGGCCAGACTAACATAGGGGCTGTTAGAGCTGCAGCTCCAGG